AAAAAAAAAAAAAAAAAAAAAAAAAAATTAAAGACAGTAAAATGTTATATAACTAAAAATTAAGCATTTATTATAAGAAAGCAAATATCAAAGTTGTAAGGATTCTAGAGAGAGAGGAGAAATCAGTTTAAGTTTTGTCTTCAGATACTTTTATCAACTACATTGTCTGCCATCCAAGGCAGTCTATAAACTAACTTTTTGCAATTAAAACAGTGAATTTTAACTGAGGCAAACAAAACCTTGATGCTCACTAAATTTTATCATCAGTAAGGACAACACAGGTTTATACCAAATATCCCCTTAAAATTAAAAAAAACTACTCTGGTTTCACCATTTCTCAATCTCTCACACTCGTTCTAGACTTTCTTTAGGAAGAGATAAAGCAATAGAAAAAATTAAATCTGCTCTTAGCCTGGATTATTTACTTCTACTAAGGGAAATTCTTAAAAACAATAATAGATACCACTTATTGAATATCTACTATGTACTATTAGTAACCTTCAAAATAATCCTGATAGACAGATGGCAATATTCACCTTACAGAAAAGGAATGAAAAAGCTCAGAGAGCTCAAGGTGACACAGTTAGGTAATATGAGAGAATTCAGGTTAAGAGCAAGCACTGTCCTACCAAGTTGCTCCTCAAAATCTTCACCAATATCACAAATGACTAAAATGATTTCTTAGTATCCACCAACCCTTGTGGCCACCACTAGTTTTTCCCAGTATTGTACATACAGCAAAGATACTTGTTTTTCAATAAGCCCTGAACTCTTTCAAAGTTTGCTATTCTCTACACTTCAAGTAAAAACAGTTAAATAAGCAATGGAATACCACTAAAAAGTGGCCAGAGAAAGAAGACATATGGGCCCTGAACTACTATGACCACGTCTGCTGGACGAGATTGGCTACCGCTCCCACGGCTGCACACCCCCATCCCCACTGCCACCTCCTCTATCCAGCCAGTGGCTTGGCAGGGTTCTATAAAACAGACACACAATTTCAATGGTGTTGACTACCTCGGAATTTTGAGTTTTTATTGTTTAGTTTGGTATATAGGGCAGGGAAACAGAAGTGATTCACATGGCTTAGTTCTACAATTCCAGGCTCCATCGCTGAATCCTTCCGTTAGGAAATGTTTCAGAATGCCGCTAGTCTGTCCACTGGGTCATGCCGGAAATATCTTCAACCACACTTGATACTCCATAACCTTGTTGTTCAAAGCCTTCAAACACTCTCATTATAAGAAAATATTTCTTATATTTAATATAAATCTCTTTTTTTTCAGTTTTTGCAACGATAAGGAATAACCTTCTTGCAAACTTTTCTAATATTGAAGAGGACTGTTCAGTCCCCCACTTTTATTTAAGCAGCTTAATTGTCAGTTTAAAAGTGGCTGATGAAAATCTTAAATAATAATCCATACTCTCTGAGGAACATGGGTTAATTTTAATTTTAAAAGCATTTTTTTAATCTCATAAATTATAGCAAAATCAGAAATAAAACCTGTCTCTTAACTGTTAGTGAATTCTCTAAGAACAACAATTCATGCTTACTAATAATTTTCCATGATTATTTAAATAAAGTGTCTGATTCTAGCAAAGCTAATTTTTCAGGAAGTGCAAAGTTATTATATATGCCAGAAAATGCCACAGATCTTCAAGAAGCACCCTTATCATCTCTATAAGGTGACTGAAAATGACATTTGAATACATCTTTTAAACAGCTCCATCTAATTTCACTGCTGCTGAGATTTCTGACTCCTCCCTTCTGGCTCTTCAGTGGCCTTCAGATTCTACCAGATTCCAGAGCTCAATCCTCTGTGCGATGATTTCAACTCTGGCAGCAGCTTCTGAAATGAGGCTATGGATTATTTGGTGGGTAAATAAGCCAAGAAGGGAGAAGAGAATGTTGTGACTTGGAGGAGAAGCTAGTATGTCATCTTTTGACAGAGAAATAAACTTAGAAAAATAATCACAGAAATGAAGAAAGAAAACACGTAGAAGATGAAAAGAACAGAAACAGAGCTTGCAATTTCCAACAGGTAAGAAACTGGGAAACAAACCTCTATTATGCTAAAGAAAAATCTTGCAAATGTGTTTTTCAAATATTTATTTCATGTTAAAATAATCCAGCTTTAAAATATGTGAGATCATTAAAAGTTAGAACCATTGTGCTTTCAGGCCTAATTTACCAGATGTCTTCTTGCTTATGTGACCTAAAAAACAACCCCACAAGCTCTAGAATGCACCATTTTAAGAAAGTTATCAAAAGAAATCACCACATGCTAGTATTAGCACAATGGAGCTTTAATTACTTTTTGTTTATGTTTGTAAATAAACATAAATACCTGGTAAACTTATTTCATTGGCAGAGTTGAGCTTTCCTTTCTGAATACATTTCATGTGCTGTTATTTTAAAGAATTAAAAACCTCAATATTCTCTATAATGACAAGCTCAGTCATAAGCTTCACAGAAAATGAAAGCCAATTCAGACAAACTGTGCTAGCTTGATTTTAAAGATAAATATTAGGCTTTGGGAAATAAAATGTGTATATTTTCCACTAATAACTGAACTCAGGCAATTGTCAAATTCAAGGAAACACAGATAAGCATTCACCAGCAAAGAAAATCAAAGTACATATAATAAAAGAATGGATGAGCAAAGTTATCCCCAAATCTTAAAAGAAAACACACACTTCTGCAGTAGATACATGTGAAATTAGATTTTTTGGAATAGGTGAATAGTTGAATAGGATAGGGAGTTTGCATGATGTAGAATAACCAAGCCAATTACACTTTTTAATAAGGCTGTGAAAGAATAGGCATTCATCTCTTGATTCTTCTGTATTTACTTAATACGGTTCTCTGATCTCAGGTAAAATACTAAGAGTGTCTTTATAGAGATTCTTGTTATATTTACTTTCATGGAACACAAATGATTGAATTTTTTAATGAAATAACCAAATAAACTAGAAATACTGCTTTGTGCATGCTTTAGAAAGTAGAAGTCTTATTCATGGCTCTGCTACTAACTCTATTAACTACACAACACGAGCAAGTCATAGGGTCTTACAGTTGTCATGTCTGTAAAATCAGAAGTAAAGTATTATACCTATCTAGAGTGCAGGACTGCTGCAGATATCAAGTAAGACAGCCCACCTTCACAGCACTTTAATTCTTGAATGAATTAATAAATGGGGTGGTACTTAAAATCATTAAGCCCCAAAGAAGTCTGAGGTGTTATCCGTATCAACACAGCCATAAAATCTGTATTCCTGGAGGCTTAAGGAAAAGGAGAGAGAGCTCCATGAGGGAATGCTTGCAGTGTGGTCCTGGCCTATTCTGGGACCCACATACAGATTTGGGGGTGGGTATTATGTAAAACTTCACTTTGCCCAAGGCCACCAACTCCTTGAAGTTACATAGGAAATTGTTTAATATAAAAGACATAGAAAATGTTCCACTTATCTGCTTTTAAGATTAATAACAGCAAATACAAAAAAAATTTCAAAAAATATAAAACAGGAGGTAACAGAAAATAGTGGAAAGAGCATAAAACTGAGTGGGAAGAGCACATGTAGTTAACTGCAAAGCCACAACACCTGTGCAAATGAGCATAGCATGTCAGAAATGTAACAGTCTCTGCCAAGTCAAAATACCACAGCACCAAATGAAATACAACAAATAATCTAAAATATGCTTTAGTTTTTCTGTGTTATAGACAATTAAGGGAAAGGGGGAAACAGAGAAGAGAATGAGACAGGCAGAAAGAGAAGACGACAATGAGACAAGCAGAGAGTCCAAGGGGCAGATACACACAAACTCTACTCCTCAGTCTCCTCAAAAAGAGCTGTATGTTTAGACAGAGGGAGAGACACTAACAAAAGACATATTGACACAGAAATAAATATGCATATAGAGACTTTGGCACAATAATGTCCTTATTGTGTTCATCTTGACTTTTAAAGACAAAACTACCAAAAATTATGTAATGTACTGTTGAACTTTTGCATTAAAAGGTATAAATGGAGCCAATTCAAGGCATGTGCCTTATGAGCTAGATACAATCAAGTTAAAAACTGAAGATTACCTACCTCCACCATATGCTACTCACATCTGGGGGTAGAATGTCAGTTTAGTAATTTGAAATCTCACATATCTGGGTCATTTATAACCAAACAAGCCAAAGATGGAACTTCCCTAAAATAGAAATGTATTCCAAGAATTTTTTTATGAATCAAAGCTTAGCATTATTTTGCTTCCAGATAGGCAGGGTTTAAATATTTTAACTTAATAGTTACCAATTATGTAAAGTGTAAATCCTACACTGTCATGTCAAGTCCATATTGGGGATTTTCCTGTTCATCTTCTCTGTGCTGTGCAGCAGGCACTGGAGGATGCGACTCCAGCATTCCCTTCTGACTCCCTCCCAGATGAGGTCCATCTAACCTTCTGGCCTTTCTGATCTGCAAGCCTCTATGGGCATTTACAGACTGAGGAGCTCATTTGCACTTTGCTGCTGATCAGCAAAGAAGAGAGCAAAGAGGTTTCTACTAAATTTCAGACGTGCTGTTGCAAGGTGATGAGTGATCCCCACTGACTCAGCCCAGACAAGTCAGATCGACAAGAATGGGCAAGGGTTCCTGATGTTTATTACCGTCTCTATTACCAATCTGCTAGGAACTCTACAAAACTGTATGAATTCCACATCTGTAAGGAGAAAACTTATTCAGACCTTTCTTTGCAGGAGACCTATCTTTTCTTTCTTATAGACAATAAAAGTTGGGGAGTAAAAAAGTACAAGACTTTGCTGTTTTGTTTCACTTAAGCTAAGCTCTTGACTTCCGGTACTTTGGTTTCTGTCTATGAAATGGATATATAAGAAGCCCACCTCTTTCCAGCAAACCTGATGTTGGAGAAATAAATAGCACAGCAGATGTGGAAGCATTCACAGCTCTCCAGGGGATGGGGGTTAGGCCAATTCAGTCCAATCGACTGAAACACTCAACACGGGTAATAGTAACAGCGATACAGCGCACATGAGTTTACCCAGTGTTTAACAGTTTATAGGTTGTTCGAACGATATTATTTCATTGACCCTTATACCAAGGCATGAAATAGGGAGGCTATTTTTTAAATTTCATTTGACAATTGAAGACTCTGAGGCCTAGAAAAGGGAAGTGACTTGCACGAGATCAAACAACTAGTTAGCAGGACATGTCAAGAAACATGCCAGAATGAGCATACCAATCGGTACATGCAATTACGGCCACTTCTTCTCATTCCTGCTCTCTGCCAAGTGAAGCCTGCTTGGTAGGAGGTCTTTGTAAACAATCAAAGCTTCCTACTTTTCATGTATAGTTCTGGTCCACTGACTGTCATAAAGAGCTTAAATCTTTCTTAACCTTCCCCTTCAGCCAGTACCTGTGAACTCTCGGTCTCTCTAACCCCTTAATCATCCAAGCCCTACCCCTTCATTTTGAACACCACTGTTTATAAATTGTGCTACTTCTACTTCTCACCACGTCACATCTGAGCCACTGATCTGTTCCTTGGGCCTTTCTTTATAAAATACTGTCTTTATCAACGGCGTCTATTCATCTGTGGGATTTTTATGGTGCTCTTCATTGTAGTGTTTATTGTTGAAATCCTAACAGATACAACAAGTATTCTTAAGGTGATTTATTTCCAATAAGAATCTGCTAAGCCTCTGAACTCAGAATATGAGAGCGGTCCAGGGTAATTTCAAACATCAAATAAAGGTTTGTTCTCTTTCATTCCTACTGCTCAGCTTCCTTGAGCAATGTTGTTTTCTTCAAATTCCTAAAGAAGAAGTCAAGATGAGGGTTTTTTCCCTTTGTCTTCTTTCAATGTGTACTCTTTGGGACAGAAATCTTAGCACTTAGAATGGTGGGAAGTTCATTGTGCCTGTTGCGTATCCTGGTATGAATAATTCCACTGAAATTACAGCTCCCCTAAACCATGCTGGGCCATAGGATCACAGCAACCCCTTCCTCTGCACAGGAAGGGAGAATTGAAGGAACGCTTTCTAAATGAAGTAAATTCTGAGTAATAGCCCACAGGGCACTGACTACCTTGCCTTGATTTCCAGAATCTGAGCAATGTACCCAGAAACTGCCTGTGCACAGTATAGCTTCAGCCCTAGAGAGCGGGAAAATACAGAGATGAGAAGACGTAGGCTACCCCACAGCAGGCCTGATCAGTGTCCTTGCCTCCAGACTCAAGGCTATAGCCTAGCTCTGGGCAATGGAGATAACAAATTCTATTCAGCACACTTATATTGACCACCTTCCATGTGCTCTATGCTGGGGCCAAGGGACAAACTCAGTTGTATGATCTTGTAGTCCTCCCAACAACTCAAATGGACATTGCTTATTCCCATTTTACAGGTAAGAAAACTGAGCAGAAAAGACAATTGACTTATGCCAAAGTCATACAGGCACCAAATAGTGAGACACCTGTCAGAACTCCAAAAAGTACTCTGGCCTCCACAGTGCACACAGACACACACAAAAGACAGAAGGCAAGAGGAGTGAAAACATATATATGGGCTACCTTACACGATTAACAGAACGCTGTCATGTGCCTTTCCTCGTTAGCTCTAAAGGCTGTTCTGATGGGACAAATAAACACCCCGAGATGAGAGAAGGCACGGATAGAGAGACCTCCTGGATATCAATGTCAAGGACACTGTTCCACCACCGTTCCAGGTGGACAGGAAGAGGGAGAGCGAGAGCCGGCTCAGTGAGACCAAGAAGATCAACAAAACTGTTGAATTGTCCAGGTTATTAAGAACTTGCATTAATATTCTGGGTTCTGTTTAATTTTTTAGGGTCTCAAGAGCATATGCCAGTTGTTTATGATTTCCATCAAGCACAGAAAAAGATCGAGGAAGATCAAACCTTCCTAATTACTCACTGGAAGCCTCACAGCAAGTACTTCCCAAGAACTGATGGCCAAAATATCCACCCACAATACAAGTAAGCTTAGAAAAGCTCTTCTTACAACCCTGACATAATGGAACTTTCCCTAAACCATCCTGCATCTAATACAAACAATGCAAGGAGCAATGACTCCGCATTTTTCTACTTTGAGTCCTGTCAACCACCTTCTCTAGTCTTGCTCCTGTTACTCATAGTCTACACTGTGGTCTTCATCGTGGGCCTTTTTGGAAACCTCTCTCTCATCATTATCATCTTTAAGAAGCAGAGAGAAGCACAGAACGTCACCAACATACTGATTGCCAATCTCTCCCTCTCTGACATCTTGGTATGTGTCATGTGCATCCCTTTTACTGTCATCTACACTCTGATGGACCACTGGATATTTGGGGATACCATGTGTAAACTCACTTCTTATGTGCAGAGTGTCTCCATCTCTGTATCCATATTCTCACTTGTGTTAATCGCAGTTGAAAGATATCAGCTGATTGTGAACCCCCGTGGCTGGAAGCCCAGTGTGTCTCATGCCTACTGGGGTATCACACTGATTTGGCTATTTTCCCTTCTGCTGTCTATTCCTTTCCTCCTGTCCTACCACCTCACGGATGAGCCCTTCCACAACCTTTCTGTCCCCACTGACATCTACACCCACCGTGTGGCCTGTGTTGAGAACTGGCCCTCCAAAATGAACCAGCTCCTCTTTACCACCTCCCTGTTTATGCTCCAGTATTGTGTCCCTCTGAGCTTCATCCTCATCTGCTACCTGAAGATTATTATCTGCCTCCACAGGAGAAATGGGAAGGTGGACAGGAAGAGGGACAGCGAGAGCCGGCTCAGTGAGAACAAGAGGATCAGCACGATGTTGATCTCCATTGTGGTGACCTTTGGGGCCTGCTGGTTGCCCTTGAACATATTCAATATCATCTTTGACTGGTATCATGAGGTGCTAATGAGCTGCCACCATGACCTGGTATTTGTAGTTTGCCACTTGGTTGCTATGGTTTCTACTTGCATAAACCCTCTCTTTTATGGCTTTCTCAACAAAAATTTCCAGAAGGACCTGGTGGTGCTTATTCACCACTGCCAGGGCTTTGCACCTCGGAAAAGATATGAAAATATTGCCATCTCCACTATACACACAGATGAATCCAAGGGATCATTAAGATTGGCTCACACACCAACAAGAAGATAAAAACTGTTAAAATTTAATGCTAAAGCCCTTACTGAATGGGAGATGGGTTGGTAATGGTTGGGGATAGGGCAAGATGCATAAAGAAGAAACCAGAACCAAAAAAAAGCAACTTTATACTACCCAGTTTTGCTGTAGGCCTAACACACACACACACACACACACACACACACACTACCCCTCCTTTTATATTAGGAGAATGACTCTAAGAACTCAGACATCCTAGCTGCCATCATTTGTGGCAAAGAATGACACTGAGCAAGCAAGAGAGGTAAGCATCACTGATGACTGGGGAACAAAGTTCCCAGATCTTGCTATTCAATGGAATATCCACAGAAGTTATTACTAGTAAATATGCCTGGTAAAAACAATGTTATTAGTGTTCTAGCAATTTCACTTTTATATATGGAAATTGTAACTTTCCACCATATAACTCTTCAATTAGTTAACAAAGTAAGAAAGCCTCCTTCAGGATTTCTTAATTAGCTAACAAAGTTAAGTTTGGAATAGAAATTGAAGGAATGGTTTTAACTTAGCATTTAAACTCAGTATTGTAAGTATAATTAATTCCCATGCCTGGATCATATTCTCCAGTTTATGATGCCAGCACATTTTCTTCACTAGCAATACTAGTGGTACCACCAGAACTAGCCACAAACTCTTCAGCACTCCAGTTATGCTAGAAATCACATTAACTAACTTAATAATGGCCAATCTAGATAGAGCTTTAATTAAAAAATGGCTTTTTATCCCTAATTCTTTATGTATATTAAATAGGGATCATTATGACTCCACCATTGTGTCTAAGAGACTTCATCAGTAGCACTTTTATAATTAGCTCCAGATTTTTTTAAACCTCTCCTAAATCCTATGATGTAAACATTAACAAAAATCCCTCTCTTCCCACATAGTCACTTACATAGGAGAATCGGCTAAACTGTTTTCAAAAAGGATACTAAGCTACTTACTGTTCAAATAGCCATTAGCCCAGTGACTTGTACTAAATTACAACCAGCTCTATCTCTTCTTTGGATAAATCTCACTCATACTATTGAATTTGAACTGCACCTTATTTGTATATTAAAAATGTAACTGTATGACTAAAGAAGATATGGTACATATTCACAATGGAATATTATTCAGCCATAAGAAGAAAATAAATCCTACCATTTGCAACAACACGGATGGAGCTAGAGGGTATTATGCTCAGTGAAATAAGCCAGTGGAGAAAGACAAGTATCAAATGATTTCACTCATCTGTGGAGTATAAGAACAAAGAAAAAACTGAAGGAACAAAATAGCAGCAGAATCACAGAACCCAAGAATGGACTAACAGTTACCAAAGGGAAAGGGACTGGGGAGGATGGGTGGGAAGGGAGGGACAAGGGGGGAAAAGGGGCATTACGATTAGCACACATAATGTAGGGGCGGGACACGGGGACGGCTGTACAACACAGAGAAGACAAGTAGTGATTCTATAGCATCTTACTACACTGATGGACAGTGACTGTAATGGGGTTTGTTGGGGGGACTTGATGATGGGGGGAGTCTAGTAACCATACTGTTGCTCATGTAATTGTACATTAATGATACTAAATAAATAAATAAATAAATGTAACTATCTTCATTTTAAATACAAGATAATGTTTCTCTGAATCCCTGTGATCTTTCTATTGTAGTTTTTTCCCTTGAATGTTAGGTTCATGTTTTCCCCTCCTGAAAAATCTCTCCTCTCTCCCCTCCCCTCCTTCCTCTCTCTATCTTTTCCTTCTCTTCAGAATTTCTATTCGCTCTGTTATATCATTCTGGGAAAAGCACTGCAGGACACCTGAATGAAATAAAAGGTAACAATCTCACAGCATTAGGTGCAAATAAAAACTCTTATCTAAAAACCAATTTCAAATGGTATCACCTTAGAATCCTGAGGTGCAGGCCTGTGGCCCCTTAGCCCAGGGGGTGGTCAAGGTCCCCTAGATACCTTTTCAATCTCCAGTGACAGATAGTGGTTAGTCCTATAATTAAGATCCAATGTAATATTTTACTTACTTGATAAATATATATATTGATTCTCACTTCCATTACTTAAAATGACTCTGACTAAGCAGCAGAAGGCAGGAAAGGGCTTTCAGCGAACTCTGATACCACCCCTTCCCCTCACCGACACACATACACCCGAGCTCCTCTAACCCAGACCCTCACTCTGAGCATTCAAAAGAGATCCAATCTGTGATTAAGTATTATGGTGTTCATTCTGGCCCCAGGTGATTTCCTTCTCTTATAAAACTGTTTTTGTCTTTTCTCCTACACTTTCTTCAGCTTTAATGAAGCAAAAGTCACTATTGATATAAACTATCAACAGTAGTCTTTCTGGTGCTTATCTTTACCTCAGAATAGGAGTGAATTAAATGGACTTTTTAATGCATGCCTTTACCCTTAAGAGACTGATATTCTGAGAGGCAATTACATTCTGAGGAGAGCACAGGTATGTACGTAACTACTTACAGCAGGAAGTTACGATGGAAACATAAACAAAGTGCTGTGGGGGCCCAGGAAACGTAAAACTCATTTTTGAGGAAACAAGGAAGGATTTCAGGAAACTCAACCTTATTTCCTATTTCTGAAGTTTTGTGCATGGTTCACACTAAGTTAGTCTACAGTTGAGCCACCTGGTGACTAGACTGTGAACTTTGAGACCCTGACCTACATCTTTATTCCTTCTACACCAATCTTCCACTGCACCCACAGTTTTAAGATAAGGCAAGGCAAAGAAAAGCATTTACTACACACAGATTTTAAAAGGTATTTCTTAAAATACAAGCTAGGCAGTAATTATTTACTTACTGAATGCCCGAATGTTTTCAAGCCTATGTTTTATTAAGTGTTAATTAACAACCTCCTCTGATCCCTTCGCCACAGTGCTCATAACACCTTGTCTATACCTACCACACAGAACCATCAAGGCCTGTTTACATGTGTGCCTGCTCCACAAGACAGGAGCTCCTTGAAAAAAGGGAATGGGTCTTATTCACCTAGCGGCTCCAAGTGCCAAGGTTAGCATCTGGCACAAAGTGGGGATGCAGTCAATATTTGCAAACTACAGATGAAGAATTTATATGGGGATAACAAATCTTTGTTTGGAAGTGGTGTGTGGATCTGAATAGTAAATGAGGACTGTACTCTCTGGACTCAGTGCCTGAAGAAGCAGAATGCCAAACTTGCATCTGAAAAGTAAGAGCCAGTGCTCAGGAATTCTGCGCAGGCAGCAGGACAGATACAAACCCAGCCTGGCTCCCGGGGGCACTCACAGGCAAAGTGTGCTTTCACGGTTCAGGTGTTATTTGCCACTAAGAATTGGCTAACTGGGAAGGTCCTGAGACTGAAAGAAAATGCTTTTTTAACTTCCAATTAACTAATGTGAGAGGTTTTGGAAGCAAACAGCTTTTAGAAATGAAAGGCTGCTCTTCTGGGGCAAGCAGCCTCTGGGAAAGTGGGCCCCATTATGACTCCTTTAGAAGAAAAATCAGACTTTCTATAAAAGCCCAAAAGGCAGGGCAGAACTTTGCTTTTTTCAGTAAGCCAAATTCTTCTCCATTAAGGTAACATAAACCTAAAAGCAAAGATTATCAAGTTTCTATCTTTCTACATTGCTACATAGTAAACGCACTAGATAGGGTGAGGATTTAATAATATGGGTAACTGTGAAACCACTGTGTTGTATATTTGAAATCAACATAAGATTGTATATCAATGATACTTCGATTAAAAAAAGTTATTGAGTTATTGATTTGGAGACAGTCTTCTCAACCTGGGCTCCCAAGAGATGCCCTCTGCTTTTCCAAGCAGCAGGAGCCCCTGACTCCCAGACACTGTCACCAGACAACCATTTCCTGATGATCCAAGCTTTATAGCTATTTCCTACAAAGTTTCTCAATTTAAAAACAAAGACAAATATTTTCATGTGTGTGGTGTTCATGTGCATACTAGAAAAATATCTGCAAGGAAATATTACAAAGTGTTAACCATGTTCATCCCAGATGATATGACTTTGGGGTAACCTATCTCAACTTCTTTCTTCCAAGGTCTACCTTGCCGTCTAATCTCCCTTCCTCCCTCTCTTTTGGCCTATTTGCTCCTTTTGCCTATTTTTTTCTAAATATTCTACTAGGAACATGTATTATTTATAAATTTTTTTCAAATGGGTGAGAAAAAGATAAAAACTTTAAAACAGCCAAGAATCTAAAGTGTCTGTTGTCTTGCCAATGGCTTCCCTGCTCTTTAGGAATGTGCTGTTTGAGGGGGGAACTGAAGAAATCCAGACAGTTGCAACACGGTTAGGTGGTTAAAAGAGGTAGAGTGGGATCATGTCTTTTTATCAGTCTAATTCCAGAGCTCCTCCAAGAAACCCAGGACTATAGATTCACTGACAAGGACTATACAAATTGGTAAATTTGCAAAGCTGTAGCTGAAGCCTGGCATCCCTGCCACTGACAAACAGCTCTGTGTGCTGTACCAGTAGGCTCTGCCATCTTGTTCAGATAAAAATCTTCCAGGGGAATAGGTACCCAACTGATACCCATTCATCTTACTACGCAGACGCAAGCTTTTAGCCACTCCAAACTGATGAGGAACTTAAGCAGCAGCATCATGAGCTACTAGAGAGGTATAAACTAAATCACACCTGCCATAACCATGGAATACATCGTGAAAATTTTAAGACAAAACTCCTCCTTACCCCCTACGTCTTCTGAAAAACACCCGTTCTCTTTTATTTCAGGGAACTGAGAAAAGTTCAAAACCAGGACTTCAGAGTTGCTCCTGGAAGAGCTTCAGCCAGGAGCTGCCAGAAACAGATGTTAAATCTACTTTCGGAGCCTACTAAGTGTGCTGGGCATTCAGTGTGGTAGATGAGCCTGGGCATGTCTTCTAAGTCAATAATTCAGTGGGAACTAGATGTACAGTATTGTGTAGAGGGACCTCACTTCCTCCACAGAGCAACAGAGGGGAGACAGTTCACAGATCTCAGATGTTTACTCACCCTTCTGAGAGGCCACAGGAGCATCCACATGGTCATACACTCAGACCTACAATGAAATTGTCTCTGGTGTTAGTGGGACACGGACTGTCAAATCATGTCCCTGGACACCAGGAGCCCTGGGACTCATACCCCATCTCTTCCAAAGACTTTTCTGTAGCCCTACACATGTCACTTGACTCCTCTATGCCTCAGTTCTGTCACCTTTGAAAAGGGACGCTGCTGTCTTCCTTTTAGAAGGGATGTAGAGATGACGCTGGAACAGCCTCCGCTATTTACCCGCATGCTCCAATAGTTGCCTGATGAACTGATTCTGGGTCGGGTGAGATGGACAGGACAGTCAGAACACATTATCAGAGAGTGGGAAAAGCACAGATTTTGAGCCATCCAGCCCTAGTTTTGAATTTTGGCTCGACCAGTTATGAGCTATGTGAATGGAGGCAAACCGCTTCAACATCGCTGGCCGCAAGGCCACCCACATAAGAGAGAGCGCAGACTTCTGGCAAAACTACGGTGGAGCAGGAAGGCAAGATGGAAACCTTACTTAGAAAAAAAATCTCTGAAAGCAACATTATAAAAATGTTATTAACAAAATTGGAAAATTGAGAGATTCTTTAACCAAGAAACTTTTAAAACAGTCTTGAATCAAAGAGAAAATATAATATATAATTGCAGAATTTCTAGGAAAAAAATAACAAAAACATTATACAACACCACCTATAAATCAAAAGACTACCTTAAGGAAAAATTAATAGCCTTATCAATAAAAATCAAAGACAAAAAAGAAATTAATTTTAGCATGTGACTCAAAATTAGAAAAGAACAATAAACAAGTAGAAAACAGAAATAAGAAACAAAGATTAAATGAAAATTAATGAATTAAAAACCAAAAATCGTATAAATAAAAAAACTCATTCTATTTATTTGTTTGTTTGTTTGTTTGTTTGTTTGTTTTTAAGCCTCAGTCTTTTTAAACATCTACAAAAAGAAACCACTAGCCAAGGAGGGGGGTAAAAGACAGCACAGTAGCAAGGCAAGGCAGAAACCTCCCCACACACACACCAAAGAGGAATTACAGCAAACACAACTAACCTTGAAAATCACC